CGAGGACAACCCCACCAGTGCACACCAGTGCACACCCCTTTACCATCTATGCTCCCCTGCTTGCAGCTTACCCGATGGCAATGAACCATGAGGCGAGGACAACCCCACCAGTGCACACCAGTGCACACCCCTTTACCATCTATGCTCCCCTGCTTGCAGCTTACCCGATGGCAAGGAACCATGAGGCGAGGACAACCCCACCAGTGCACACCAGTGCACACCCCTTTACCATCTATGCTCCCCTGCTTGCAGCTTACCCGATGGCAATGAACCATGAGGCGAGGACAACCCCACCAGTGCACACCAGTGCACACCCCTTTACCATCTATGCTCCCCTGCTTGCAGCTTACCCGATGGCAATGAACCATGAGGCGAGGACAACCCCACCAGTGCACACCAGTGCACACCCCTTTACCATCTATGCTCCCCTGCTTGCAGCTTACCCGATGGCAAGGAACCATGAGGCGAGGACAACCCCACCAGTGCACACCAGTGCACACCCCTTTACCATCTATGCTCCCCTGCTTGCAGCTTACCCGATGGCAATGAACCATGAGGCGAGGACAACCCCACCAGTGCACACCAGTGCACACCCCTTTACCATCTATGCTCCCCTGCTTGCAGCTTACCCGATGGCAATGAACCATGAGGCGAGGACAACCCCACCAGTGCACACCAGTGCACACCCCTTTACCATCTATGCTCCCCTGCTTGCAGCTTACCCGATGGCAAGGAACCATGAGGCGAGGACAACCCCACCAGTGCACACCAGTGCACACCCCTTTACCATCTATGCTCCCCTGCTTGCAGCTTACCCGATGGCAATGAACCATGAGGCGAGGACAACCCCACCAGTGCACACCAGTGCACACCCCTTTACCATCTATGCTCCCCTGCTTGCAGCTTACCCGATGGCAAGGAACCATGAGGCGAGGACAACCCCACCAGTGCACACCAGTGCACACCCCTTTACCATCTATGCTCCCCTGCTTGCAGCTTACCCGATGGCAATGAACCATGAGGCGAGGACAACCCCACCAGTGCACACCAGTGCACACCCCTTTACCATCTATGCTCCCCTGCTTGCAGCTTACCCGATGGCAATGAACCATGAGGCGAGGACAACCCCACCAGTGCACACCAGTGCACACCCCTTTACCATCTATGCTCCCCTGCTTGCAGCTTACCCGATGGCAAGGAACCATGAGGCGAGGACAACCCCACCAGTGCACACCAGTGCACACCCCTTTACCATCTATGCTCCCCTGCTTGCAGCTTACCCGATGGCAATGAACCATGAGGCGAGGACAACCCCACCAGTGCACACCAGTGCACACCCCTTTACCATCTATGCTCCCCTGCTTGCAGCTTACCCGATGGCAATGAACCATGAGGCGAGGACAACCCCACCAGTGCACACCAGTGCACACCCCTTTACCATCTATGCTCCCCTGCTTGCAGCTTACCCGATGGCAATGAACCATGAGGCGAGGACAACCCCACCAGTGCACACCAGTGCACACCCCTTTACCATCTATGCTCCCCTGCTTGCAGCTTACCCGATGGCAATGAACCATGAGGCGAGGACAACCCCACCAGTGCACACCAGTGCACACCCCTTTACCATCTATGCTCCCCTGCTTGCAGCTTACCCGATGGCAATGAACCATGAGGCGAGGACAACCCCACCAGTGCACACCAGTGCACACCCCTTTACCATCTATGCTCCCCTGCTTGCAGCTTACCCGATGGCAAGGAACCATGAGGCGAGGACAACCCCACCAGTGCACACCAGTGCACACCCCTTTACCATCTATGCTCCCCTGCTTGCAGCTTACCCGATGGCAATGAACCATGAGGCGAGGACAACCCCACCAGTGCACACCAGTGCACACCCCTTTACCATCTATGCTCCCCTGCTTGCAGCTTACCCGATGGCAAGGAACCATGAGGCGAGGACAACCCCACCAGTGCACACCAGTGCACACCCCTTTACCATCTATGCTCCCCTGCTTGCAGCTTACCCGATGGCAATGAACCATGAGGCGAGGACAACCCCACCAGTGCACACCAGTGCACACCCCTTTACCATCTATGCTCCCCTGCTTGCAGCTTACCCGATGGCAATGAACCATGAGGCGAGGACAACCCCACCAGTGCACACCAGTGCACACCCCTTTACCATCTATGCTCCCCTGCTTGCAGCTTACCCGATGGCAAGGAACCATGAGGCGAGGACAACCCCACCAGTGCACACCAGTGCACACCCCTTTACCATCTATGCTCCCCTGCTTGCAGCTTACCCGATGGCAATGAACCATGAGGCGAGGACAACCCCACCAGTGCACACCAGTGCACACCCCTTTACCATCTATGCTCCCCTGCTTGCAGCTTACCCGATGGCAAGGAACCATGAGGCGAGGACAACCCCACCAGTGCACACCAGTGCACACCCCTTTACCATCTATGCTCCCCTGCTTGCAGCTTACCCGATGGCAATGAACCATGAGGCGAGGACAACCCCACCAGTGCACACCAGTGCACACCCCTTTACCATCTATGCTCCCCTGCTTGCAGCTTACCCGATGGCAAGGAACCATGAGGCGAGGACAACCCCACCAGTGCACACCAGTGCACACCCCTTTACCATCTATGCTCCCCTGCTTGCAGCTTACCCGATGGCAATGAACCATGAGGCGAGGACAACCCCACCAGTGCACACCAGTGCACACCCCTTTACCATCTATGCTCCCCTGCTTGCAGCTTACCCGATGGCAAGGAACCATGAGGCGAGGACAACCCCACCAGTGCACACCAGTGCACACCCCTTTACCATCTATGCTCCCCTGCTTGCAGCTTACCCGATGGCAATGAACCATGAGGCGAGGACAACCCCACCAGTGCACACCAGTGCACACCCCTTTACCATCTATGCTCCCCTGCTTGCAGCTTACCCGATGGCAATGAACCATGAGGCGAGGACAACCCCACCAGTGCACACCAGTGCACACCCCTTTACCATCTATGCTCCCCTGCTTGCAGCTTACCCGATGGCAAGGAACCATGAGGCGAGGACAACCCCACCAGTGCACACCAGTGCACACCCCTTTACCATCTATGCTCCCCTGCTTGCAGCTTACCCGATGGCAATGAACCATGAGGCGAGGACAACCCCACCAGTGCACACCAGTGCACACCCCTTTACCATCTATGCTCCCCTGCTTGCAGCTTACCCGATGGCAATGAACCATGAGGCGAGGACAACCCCACCAGTGCACACCAGTGCACACCCCTTTACCATCTATGCTCCCCTGCTTGCAGCTTACCCGATGGCAATGAACCATGAGGCGAGGACAACCCCACCAGTGCACACCAGTGCACACCCCTTTACCATCTATGCTCCCCTGCTTGCAGCTTACCCGATGGCAAGGAACCATGAGGCGAGGACAACCCCACCAGTGCACACCAGTGCACACCCCTTTACCATCTATGCTCCCCTGCTTGCAGCTTACCCGATGGCAATGAACCATGAGGCGAGGACAACCCCACCAGTGCACACCAGTGCACACCCCTTTACCATCTATGCTCCCCTGCTTGCAGCTTACCCGATGGCAATGAACCATGAGGCGAGGACAACCCCACCAGTGCACACCAGTGCACACCCCTTTACCATCTATGCTCCCCTGCTTGCAGCTTACCCGATGGCAATGAACCATGAGGCGAGGACAACCCCACCAGTGCACACCAGTGCACACCCCTTTACCATCTATGCTCCCCTGCTTGCAGCTTACCCGATGGCAATGAACCATGAGGCGAGGACAACCCCACCAGTGCACACCAGTGCACACCCCTTTACCATCTATGCTCCCCTGCTTGCAGCTTACCCGATGGCAATGAACCATGAGGCGAGGACAACCCCACCAGTGCACACCAGTGCACACCCCTTTACCATCTATGCTCCCCTGCTTGCAGCTTACCCGATGGCAAGGAACCATGAGGCGAGGACAACCCCACCAGTGCACACCAGTGCACACCCCTTTACCATCTATGCTCCCCTGCTTGCAGCTTACCCGATGGCAATGAACCATGAGGCGAGGACAACCCCACCAGTGCACACCAGTGCACACCCCTTTACCATCTATGCTCCCCTGCTTGCAGCTTACCCGATGGCAAGGAACCATGAGGCGAGGACAACCCCACCAGTGCACACCAGTGCACACCCCTTTACCATCTATGCTCCCCTGCTTGCAGCTTACCCGATGGCAATGAACCATGAGGCGAGGACAACCCCACCAGTGCACACCAGTGCACACCCCTTTACCATCTATGCTCCCCTGCTTGCAGCTTACCCGATGGCAATGAACCATGAGGCGAGGACAACCCCACCAGTGCACACCAGTGCACACCCCTTTACCATCTATGCTCCCCTGCTTGCAGCTTACCCGATGGCAAGGAACCATGAGGCGAGGACAACCCCACCAGTGCACACCAGTGCACACCCCTTTACCATCTATGCTCCCCTGCTTGCAGCTTACCCGATGGCAATGAACCATGAGGCGAGGACAACCCCACCAGTGCACACCAGTGCACACCCCTTTACCATCTATGCTCCCCTGCTTGCAGCTTACCCGATGGCAAGGAACCATGAGGCGAGGACAACCCCACCAGTGCACACCAGTGCACACCCCTTTACCATCTATGCTCCCCTGCTTGCAGCTTACCCGATGGCAATGAACCATGAGGCGAGGACAACCCCACCAGTGCACACCAGTGCACACCCCTTTACCATCTATGCTCCCCTGCTTGCAGCTTACCCGATGGCAATGAACCATGAGGCGAGGACAACCCCACCAGTGCACACCAGTGCACACCCCTTTACCATCTATGCTCCCCTGCTTGCAGCTTACCCGATGGCAATGAACCATGAGGCGAGGACAACCCCACCAGTGCACACCAGTGCACACCCCTTTACCATCTATGCTCCCCTGCTTGCAGCTTACCCGATGGCAATGAACCATGAGGCGAGGACAACCCCACCACTGCAACAGGCAAGGGGATGGACAAAAAGCGAATGCAGAGACAGCAAATGATGGATTATTGTCGGAGAAACAGCTCTGCCTGTCATTTACCCTGCGATCTGATGCTCTTCCTCTCTTTGGCTTCTTGTGCTGCCTCAGCCACTCCCATGAAAGAGACAAAGCTCCCACCCCAAGGGTCCTCCCTGAGTGGTGTGTCACCTAGCTGTAGGATTAAGGTAACAACGATCCACTATACGAAAGGATAACAAACGGAAAGCAACGAGTGTGTGTGTGAGAGTGAATTTACCTGGCCCAGGCTCGAAGCGTGCATTTCTCAATGTGCGCTTCGAGCCTGGGTTGGTGCATCCACATTGGTTCCTTGGATTGCACTCCTCGGAGCTCTCCTACCAACTTCGCGACACTCTCCCTGGTCCCCAACTACCTACACCCCAAATCTTCACATACAGTAATATTACACTTGGAACTACACCGCAGCAAAACTGGCACCTTATATGCACAACCGTGCATATTCGGTGACAGCTGTCGGAGAAACAGCTCTGCCTGTCATTTGCCCTGCGATCTGATGCTCTTCCTCTCTTTGGCTTCTTGTGCTGCCTCAGCCACTCCCTGCCCCCTCCTGTGCCCGTGCTTGAGCAGCTTGAGCGCGGGTCACAGGACCCGTACGCTGAGGCCCGGTTCCCCTTATCACAGCCGTGTTCGTCTGGTGTTCCTTCAGCTGCGCCCCTTTCTCATTTTCCAGTACCAGCACTCCTGAAGGGCGCACCTCCTTGACTCTCCAACGCACTGTCCCCAATCCCACATCCAGAGTGTCCTGCTTCGCTCTTTTCAGATAGACTTCCTGTCCTTCACATACGCCCTTCTGCACTTTCCCCTCTCCCTTGCGTTGCCTCTGCTCATATCTCCTGGCATCTCGCAGCTGCGCGGTGTGCAGGTTCTCCAGCGCGGCCGGCATCATGAAGCGCATGTAGCGTGCCTGGACATCAGACAGGGCCACCCAGTTCTTGATCGTGCCCGCTGTCACTGTGTCTGTCAGAACCCGTGGTGCCCCTACTGGCAGAATTGGCTCTCGTCCATAGAGTAGGCTGTACGGGGAGTGATCCCTCAGCGCTGCCTGCTTCCCGAATCTGTACCCAGCTGCTATCCAGTCCAACCCATCATCCCAATCCCTCTTTCTCTGCTCCCCGTAGGTCCGCAGCCCTCGCTTGATGGTCTGTACTATCGCTCAGTCAGCCCGTCGCTTTGCGGGTGGTAGCGGAAGGTACGTCGGTGCGTGATGCCAGATTCCAGCAGCAACTTCTTAAACTCTCCCTGGAACTCTGTGCCCTGATCTGTGAGCACCTCCCCGCACGCTCCGAATCGACACACTACCTGGGCCTTGAAAGCCGCTGCAATGTGCCTCGCGCTCTTGCTAGGGATAGCTCTCACCTCCAGCCATTTGCTCACGTGCTCCACCATGAGCACTATGTATTGGTTCCCGCTCCTGCTCAGCGGCAGCTCTCCCGCTAGGTCCAGGGACCATCGAAATCCCAAACCACAGATGGGCAGTGACTGCAGTTCTGCCTTGGCCTGAGTGAGGTTCGCCTTGCTCCTCTGACAAGCCTCGCACCCTTCTACCCACTCTTTCACTTGCTGGCGCATCCCTTCCCACCACCAGCCCGTTTTCAGCAGGTGTACGGTTCTCTCGTGCCCGAAATGCCCCAGCTTAGTGTGCACTTCCCTGATCACTGCTTCACGCTCCTCTGGCGCTGGCACCAGCTTCCAGCCGGCCTCTGTTTTTATCTGCAACTGCTGTTGAAACCACCTGTAGTGATGCCCTCGTGCCCTCACCCTTTCAGACACTGTCTCATCTACCTCGGTCTCTCCCTTCACCCATTCCATTGCCTTTGTATCCTGCCAAATGTCAGCTGGCCCCTTACTCCCTTTCGCACCGTTCTGCTCCACCTCTCTCGCCAGCAGAATCAAGGTATGCGCTGGCTCCAGCTCTGTCCGTTCCGTCTCCGGTGCCTTCTGTTCCGTCTCCAGTGGTGGTGGGTTGCGGGAGAGACCGTCGACGTGCTGTAGAGTCTTTCCCGGCCTGTGCCTTATCTTGAAGTCATACTCCTGCAGGTTTACTGCCCACCTCGCGTTCCTGGCCGTCAGCCCTGGTGTGGTCATCAACCATGTGAGGGGCTGATGGTCAGTGACCAGGGTGAACTCTCTACCCTGTAGATATACTCGGAAATGCCCCACTGCCCATACCGCCGCCAGCCCCTCCCCGATATACGAGCTGTACTGTGCTTCAGCCGGGTTGCAGCTCCTGCTGGCGTAAGCCACTACCTTCTCCACTCCCTCTACCTCCTGGCACAGTATTGCCCCCATCCCCTGACTGCTCCAGTCGGTATAGAGGATGAAGGGCTGGTCTGCTGCCGGCAGCCGCAGCACTGTCGCCGTCTTCACAGCGGTCATCAAGTCTTGCAGCGCCTCCCTCTGCTTCTCTCCCCACTCCCATGCCTTGTCTTCCCGCAGCATCCCGTTCAGCACCGTTGCTCTCTTGCTGAAGTTAGGCACGAAGCGTCTGTAATAGCTGAGGAAGCCCAAGACCGCTCGCAGCCCGGACTTGTCTCTGGGTTCCCTTAGCCTGTCCAGCACCTGCACCTTCGCTTGCTGGATCCCGATTTGCCCCCCTGTGACCTCATACCCCAAGTATTGCACGGTCTGCTCCCCCCATCTGCATTTGTTGGGATGGCAGGTGAGCCCTGCCCCCTTTATGGCACTCAGTGTCCTCTCCACGTCCTCCAGGTGCTGCTGTTCGGTTAGGCTGAAGACCACCACGTCATCGATATAACATGCCGCATGCTCTATATCCCGCAGCACCGCATCCATGATCCTCTGGAATACTGCTGAGGCGTTCCTTAGACCGAACGGCATGTACAACCATTCGTACAGCCCATCAGGTCCATGGAAGGCCGTTTTCTTCACATCCTCTTCTCTGATATTTATTTGATTGAACCCCTGCCGTAGGTCCAGCGTTGTGAAAAACACCCCATCGGCCAGCTTGTCGAAGAGTTCTTCAGCCATCGGCATCGGATATCTGTCCGGCACGGTGATTTTGTTAAGATCCCTGTAATCCCCACACATTCTCCTGCTCAACACCTCGCCTGTCAAGTCTTTCCTGGCTGCCACCACGGTCGGGGTGGCGTATTCCGACTCTGACCTCCGAATCAGTCCGGCTTCCAGCAGCTCCTTGATTTTCTCTCTACATATCTCTTCATCCCCTGGTGGCATCTTCCTTCTGCGGTGGAATACCGGCTCTTCACTGCTCAGCTTCAGTGCCATCTCCTTAATCTTGCACTTCCCCAACTCCTGCGGGGTGAAAGCGAAGCCCTTCCGATGCTTGGCCAGCAGTGTTCGCATTGCTGCCTTCCCTTCCTCGCTCATGTTCTCACCTATCCTCCACTCTGGCTCCTCTTTCTGCAGGCAGGCCCACACTCCTTGTCTGACTGTTGCTACTGTGTTTTCTCCTTCCTTCAGTCCCCAGTGCAGCACTGTCTCTTTCCACATCCGCTGCACCAGCCATCTCATCATGTACCCATCCATAGCGTTCCCCAATGCCCGCCTCCTCTCCTTCTCATTCACGCCAGGGGCTGCTGTGGCATTCTCCTTGTACCCCATGGCCAGCTCCCTCTCCAAAGCCGTGGGTTCTTCCCACCGTCCCTTCCTATGGTCAAGTACAAGTCCTGGGCCCGGCTGCTCCCCATCCATCCGATATCCTGCTGCCCCCTCATAGGACACCAAGGTGGGTAATGCCTGCCTCTCCTGTCCCACCTGGTTGCACGGGTAGTGTCTGCTGTAGCTCCTTTTGCTTACTGGTGCTGGAGTTCTTCCTGGCTCCAGTATGTCGCTCACCTTCCGCCCCTCTGCCCTCTGCACTCCCTCTATCTCCCTCTGCAGATCTTCCACTGGCACCACATTCTGCCAGTACATCCTAAGCCTGTGTGCGTAAGCTCCCATTCGCGCCGCGTCGCTGCTCACCCCTTTGCCCACCTGCCTTGTCACTCTCTCCCTTACCAACCTTACTGGTTCCCGGACATCTCCTTCCATGTCCAAGTGTTCCAGCAGGTAGGCCAGTCTGCCCTGCCTAGCCTGCACCCACTCCATGATCTTGAACAATTCCTCCATCAGTTTGGTCCTGGGGTCTAGCTCACCCTTGCCTTTTCCTGCCCATGATACCCCTTGGCACTCCCACCCTGCCACCAGCAGGTCCACGTGCCCCCAGCTTGCCGCTTCAGCTTCCGTGATTGCTTTTACATCGTTCACTCCTCGGCTCATCGCTGCCTTGATCACGTCTCCCCTCAGCAGCTCCGGAAACTCTCTATGCAGCTCCCACGCATGATGCTCCGCTATTTTCCTCACTTCTGCTGCCTGCTCCACGTAAATCCACTGTTTCACTTCTATTCCATTCCGTACCACTGCTGCCAGACCCGCCCCTATTCCCCCGAACAGTTCCACCAGCCGGATGGGTTGCTGCCAATCGGTCTGTTGGCTAGGCTCATCCACGAGGCGCATCCTAGGCTCCCTGCCCGTCCCTTTACCAGCCACTCCCTCTTGTGCCCCCTGCTTCGCCGTCACCTCCTTCTGATCTGCACGGTAGGCCCTCTTTGGCTCTGTCTTCACAAACTGCACCGGCAGCTGCCCTAGCGGTTCACCCTTCCTCCACCACCTCGTTCGGAACTCCACTGTCTCTTTCCAAAAGCAGATGGTCATGCCCAATGCAAAAATCATCTCCGTGCCCACCAGCACATCAAAATCTTCCGACTCTGAAATCCCGCACCTGATTCTGACTGGCGTCTCGTGTTTCTCCCCTTTCAACACCGTCAATTCTATCGGAGTCCTCGTGCAGGGCATCCATTTTGACTCTCCTCCCTCTGCCGTCATCACTAGCATCCCCTTCATCACATGTCTGTCCGGTGCCCACAGTCCCAGCTTCTCGGCCATCCCCTTCCCTAGTATGACACTCTGTGCTCCGGTGTCTATGATAGCTGTCTTTGCCTTCTCCCCTTCCACCGTCAGTGCTCCATTCTGGATCAGCAACACCGATGTCTGGCATGCCAGCCGCTCCTGCGGGTGACGTGCAGCTGTGCATCTCTCTTCCTTCTCTTCCGGCTTCTGCCCCCTTTCCCGCTCTTTCCTCACCTGTTCCCTTCGCCCATCCTTGCCTCCACTGCGCAGCCCCATCTCTTCTCTCCCTCTCCATGCCATGTATGCAGGTTGCTCCTCATGCTCCACCTCATCATCCTCCCTCACTCCCCACGCCATGAGTGCTCCTTGCTCTTCCTGTGCTACATCTTCTTCCTCCTCATCCCTGGCATACATCCCTGCCTCTGCTTCGCGTCGCGGTCCCAGTGCCTGCAGCTGCGCTTGCAGCCGGCTGATCTGCTTCTCCTGTTCCTCCAGCTTCTTCTTCGCTGTTCCCTCTCGCTGGTAGCAGTCTTTTGCCGCATGTCCTCCTCTCCCACAGATTTCACATTTCGGTGCTTCAGGGCATTCCCGTCGCCGGTGCTCTGGTTTCCCGCAACTGTCACAGTTTTTGCAGTCCTTGCGAATGTGTCCCGGCTGTCCGCATCGGTGGCATGTCCGTGTCTCTGGCCTGTTCTCTCCTCGACCCACTACCTTATCCTTTTCTTCAGGTATGATCGCTGCTGCCCAAGTCGGCCCACGGCTTCGCTCCATGGTCCTGGGCCAATATGCCTCATATTTTCTTTGTGCTAGCTCCATCTTCTCTGCCAACTCGAATACCTCATCCAGCGTGGTGTCTGCCCCCATCTCATACACCTTCATGCGCAGCCCGTTACCCATGGTGTTGTCCAGCCCGTCCAAGAACTTGCTGACCAAGAGGCCCATGTCCCCACACGTCACGTCCTCTGCCAAGTTGATCAGCCGGTTGTAATAGGTGAGCAACGACTCACTCCTCCCTCTCCGGAACTCCTGAAATTCCCTTATCTTTTCTGCAGTATGCCCGGGAAACTGCCGCTGCAGCCGCTTCAGAAATGCCTCTGTGGGGTCTTCCCCGTACCTGCCTGCCCTCTCAAGTAACTCATCCATCCTCATTCTGTACAGCGTCTCCGCCTCCCCTTCCAATTTATTTGGCAGACTTAGGAAGAAATCCACCGCATCCATGCCGCTCCGCTCACATCTATATCTCACATTCCCCACTTGCATCAAGTAGTTCTTCAGTGTAGGCCCCACGCGCTGGTCTCCGGAGAACCGCGCCGGCACTTCCACACGTGTGGCCATCGCTGCACTTCCACGCCCCTCGCCCCATGACTCACTTGCTCCCCTTTCCTGCCTTCCTGACGTTCCTCCTCCTCTAGCCCGCTCGATCCCCTTCCTTGCTTCTCTGGCGCGCTCCATGCTATATGCCAGACCGCTGCCTACACCTTTGCTTCTGTGCTGATCCTGTCTTGCTTCCCATCGCATTTCCTCCTCACCCTTCCTCCCTCGCCGATCTGGTGAGTAACTTGTCCGCGCCCAATCTTCCCCTCGCCCTTGGTGCTGCCAGCGCTTCTCAGGTGTTGGGGATCGTGGAGCTCTCCTTCCCTCCTGCCCATAACGATTGTCTCGGTGACGGCACTCCTCCTCCCATCTCCCTCTCTGTCCTCGCTGCAGATCACGTTCTGGCGAGCGGTGCCCGCCTCCATATCTCTCTTCACGCCGCGGATGCTGATCCAGCGAGCGATGCTCGCTTCCCCAGCTCACACCCTGTTCTTGGTGCCGATCTGGTGAACTCGACTCGCCTCCCCACATTCTCTCATGATGTTTGCGCAGATCCGGCGAGCGTGGCCCACTTCCCCGCCTCACGTCATGGTGGCGATACGAATTTGGCGAACGCGACTCGCCTCCACGCCTTCCCTCATGGCGCTGGCGCCGATCCGGCGAGCGTGACCCGCTTCCCCGCGCTGCGTGATGCTGCTGACGCGTATCCGGCGAGCGCGACTCGCCTCCCCGCCTCCCGCTGCGATTCCTCCACGGACCCGGCGAGCGCGACCCGCCTCCCCGCCTCCCGCTGCGATTCCTCCACGGATCTGGCGAACGCGATGCGCCTTCCCGTCTTCCGATGTGATACCTCTCCGGATCCGGCGAACGCGACCCGCTTCCCCGTCTCCCGTCACGATGCTGACATGGCTCAGGCGAACGCGACCCGCCTCCCCGCCTTTCGTCATGATGCGGGCGCAGATCTGGCGCGCGCGGACCGCTTCCCCGCTTTCCGTCATTCTGCTGGCGCGGATCTGGCGCGCGCGACGCGCCGCCACCCTGCTCCCCGCCGTGCGCCTGCTGTCCAGAAACGTGCGCTTCCTTACGCGCGCTTGGTACGCTGCCAGTTCCGCCTGTCTCTTCCGCCTCGCCTGCCTTAGCAGGGTTTGCCTCCGTTGCTTCCGCGGGCATGTCGCGCTGCTCGCTTGCGCCCTCCTCCTGGGCTCCGCCGCCGACCTCAGCCTCGTCGTCACGCTCGGATCTCTGCGACGTGTCCGTACTCTCGTCCACTTCTTCTCCGTCGGCGTTGAGGTCTCCCTCTCGGCCCGAAAACAATTCCTCCAAGCCTCGCCCGCGACTCTGATCTTCGCGACGGCGATAGCTTGCCTCCGGCGAGCGATACGCTCCCGTCTCCTGACGATACCCCTGATCGCCACCTGCTCCATGGCGCGGTTCCGTTCGCCACGAATCACTTCCCGCCAGAGCCGATCCCGATCCGCCCGCTCCTGCTCGTGCGGATCCGCCCGCTCGGCGCTCGGGCACGAGAGTCACCTGATCCGCGCGAAAGGCAGGCCTCCGCGGCGATCTCTCCAGCGATCGCCCACGCTCACGCGAGTGTCCGCGCCATGCGCGCTCCTCCTCGCGACGAACATACGTCCTGCCATAACGCAGCTCATACCCGTCCATCCTTGCACGCGCGCACTCCTTTCCGTTTGTTATGAAAGAGACAAAGCTCCCACCCCAAGGGTCCTCCCTGAGTGGTGTGTCACCTAGCTGTAGGATTAAGGTAACAACGATCCACTATACGAAAGGATAACAAACGGAAAGCAACGAGTGTGTGTGTGAGAGTGAATTTACCTGGCCCAGGCTCGAAGCGTGCATTTCTCAATGTGCGCTTCGAGCCTGGGTTGGTGCATCCACATTGGTTCCTTGGATTGCACTCCTCGGAGCTCTCCTACCAACTTCGCGACACTCTCCCTGGTCCCCAACTACCTACACCCCAAATCTTCACATACAGTAATATTACACTTGGAACTACACCGCAGCAAAACTGGCACCTTATATGCACAACCGTGCATATTCGGTGACATTATATTTTCTTATGTGTGCGATTAGACCACCTGATGCATGCAAGTCAATCACTTGATGAGTGCATTTTGATCACCGGCTGAGTGAACGTAAGTAACCTGATGGTTCTAGGTAGAAGGCTGGATGGGAGTAGAGTATTCTTACACAAGTATTACCTTCGGATGGAGTCACAGAGCAGGTGCAGCAGGATGGCATGGTGGTTCATGTCCCTTGGTCTCTGGTATGCTGCGGGAACCACAGGGGAGACCGAGAAGGAGAGGGAGAGGAGAGACGAACATGAGGTGAGACCGAGAAGAACATGGTGCAGGGGAGACGAAAGGGAAGGAGAAGGAGGGGACGAGGTGAGAGAGGGAAGGTGCGCAGGGCAGTGGGGGACATGAGGGGACCAGGACATCACATGGAATGCACTCACGCACTCACAACTGGTGCTGCCCATGCACCCCTGCCCACGCACCCCAGCCCACGCACCCCTGCTCACGCACCCCCTCTCACGCACCCCTGCTCACACGCCCCTGCTCACACACACAGGCACCCATGTACTCACTTATCGTGCGGCGGGCAAAACCCTTAAAGAAGAACACTCCGAGGAGGTTGATGAGCAGATGAACCACCGCGGACAGCACTAGGTAGTGCCTGGGCAGGGAGAGGAGGGTGACAATGGGTTGCGAGGAACAACAGAGAGCGAACGAGGTGACTCTCAGGTCGCCTCAAAAGTCAGCTCTTAAAGAATAACACTCCGAGGAGGTTGATGAGCAGATGAACCACTGTGGACAGCACCTGGTAGTGCCTGGGCAGGTGGAGGTTGATAGGCAGCAAGAGAGCGTGAAAAGTGAGGTGCAGAGAGCACCACATAGTGACAATTAGAGGACGACAGAGAGAGAACAGTGGGTAGAGAGCGAGGAGAAGGCAGGGAGTGACGAACAGAACAGGCATAAGTCAGAGGTGAACGGACAAGTGGGCAGGCATTGAATTGGGTGGTTACGAGCTCACTTGTGCTCTGCCTTGTCCTCGATATAAGCATGCAGGCGCTCACTTGTGCTCTGCCTCGTCCTCGATATAAGCATGCAGGCGCTCACTTGTGCTCTGCCTCGTCCTCGATATAAGCATGCAGGTACTCACTTGTGCTCTGCCTTGTCCTCGATATAAGCATGCAGGCACTCACTTGTGCTCTGCCTCGTCCTCGATATAAGCATGCAGGCACTCCACTGCTAGCGAGAAGGAGAGGAAGAGAAGGAAGAGCTGCAGGGAGGGGTGGAGAGAGGGGAGGTGGGAGGGAGGTGCAGGGGGGAAAGCAGAGAAAACAAAATCAGTTTTGCAGTGCAACTGATCTGCTTCAAAAAACATCTTTTGAGGCACCTCACAAGTCAGTCTTGCAGTGCAGTACAACTGATTTGCACCAAAAAAACATCTCACAATCTCTGACGATCATGGTTCACTCATGATTGCTTGGACTGGGCTCACTCTGTTGGTGAACGCTGCTGCTCATGCCTTTAGCCCGATGTTTCTCACACAGCTCAAGGCATGAGGAACAGCGATGCAATGGGTTTTAAATTCGCACGTACAAGGCAACACAGCACGTCACTAGAGCCCACGTGGTGGGTTCTTGCACTCCTTTCCCACTTGTCTCACACTCACCCCCTTGGTGAATGCTGCTAACACCTCCAGCCTCTCATAGTTGTAGGAGCAACAGTGCAAATGGGTTGTTGCAGTGGAAAGGCATGATACGTGAATCGGCACGTGTCTAGAGCGCAGCGCATGCAGTGGGTTCAGGCACTCACCCCGTTGGTGAAGGCTGCTAACACCTCCAGCCTCTCATAGCTGGGAGAGAGACAGTCAGAGGGCAGCACAGGGACGAGGGGGGGAAGGTGCAGAGGGAGCTGTGAGAGGGGAGAGGGAGTGTCGGGAGAGCTGCAGACCGCAAGGGGAAATGGTGAAGGCTGCTAGGACCTCCAGCCTCTCATAGCTGGGAGAGACAGTCAGAGGGGAGCACAGGGACGAGGAAGGGAGGACGCAGAGGGAGCTGTGAGAGGGGAGAGGGACTGCAGGGAGAGCTGCAGACCGGAGGGGAAGGCTGCTAGGACCTCCAGCCTCTCATAGCTGGGAGAGGGGGTCAGTCGGAGGGCAGCACAGGGACAACGGGGGGAGGGTGCAGAGGGGAGCGGGAATACAGGGAGTGCAGCAGACGGCAGGGAGAATTGAAGTTCAAGGAAAAGAGTGATGTTTAGATGGACACATTTACACATCTCGCGAAGGTGGACCCTGGGAAAGGTGATACCTGAGGAAGGTGTTACCTGGGGAAGGTGTCACCTGGGGAAGGTTTCTGCAGTGCAGGGCAAAGGTGCAAGGTGGCATCTGCAGGGCGTTTCCCCACGAGCATGGTGGCAGGTGAGAGCAGCAGGATGCACCTGGGAGAGGTGAAACCTGGGGAAGGTGGCACCTGGGGAGAGTATACAAAGGTGCAAGCAGCGACCTACCTGTAGGCGAAGGTGGCATCTGCAGGCCTACCCGTAGGCGAAGGTGGCATCTGCAGGCCTACCCGTAGGCGAAGGTGGCATCTGCAGGCCTACCCGTAGGCGAAGGTGGCATCTGCAGGCCTACCCGTAGGCGAAGGTGGCATCTGCAGGCCTACCCGTAGGTGAAGGTGGCATCTGCTGGCCTACCCGTAGGTGAAGGTGGCATCTGCTGGCCTACCCGTAGGTGAAGGTGGCATCTGCTGGCCTACCCGTAGGTGAAGGTGGCATCTGCTGGCCTACCCGTAGGCGAAGGTGGCATCTGCGGGCCTACCCGTAGGTGGAGGTGGCATCTGCTGGCCTACCCGTAGGTGAAGGTGGCATCTGCTGGCCTACCCGTAGGTGAAGGTGGCATCTGCTGGCCTACCCGTAGGTGAAGGTGGCATCTGCTGGCCTACCCGTAGGTGAAGGTGGCATCTGCTGGCCTACCCGTAGGTGAAGGTGGCATCTGCTGGCCTACCCGTAGGTGAAGGTGGCATCTGCTGGCCTACCCGTAGGTGAAGGTGGCATCTTCTGGCCTACCCGTAGGTGAAGGTGGCATCTGCTGGCCTACCCGTAGGTGAAGGTGGCATCTGCTGGCCTACCCGTAGGTGAAGGTGGCATCTGCTGGCCTACCCGTAGGTGAAGGTGGCATCTGCAGGGCGTTTCCCCACGAGCATGGCGGCGAGGGAGAGCAGCAGGATGCAACAGCCGAAGGAGAGGTGGAAGGAGTCGGACACGAGCTCTGAGAGGGGAGGGGTGGGAGGGGTGGAGGAGGGGAAGGGAAGATGGAGTGAGAGGGGAAAGGAGTCGGACACAAGCTCTGGGAGGGGAGAAGTAGAAGTGCAGGGTGTGCAAGACAGTGAGCAAATCTCAACGCTTAGAAGCAACACTCAGCTGTCAACCACCCACCTATTCGCCCTATAAGCAGCCCCACTATGAGCTCCGCAGTGGAATACGCGGAGTTGAGCGCAATCAGAAGCGCCAGCCACCTCAGAAGGCAAGCTAAGGAGTCAAAGTCAATGGTCAACGGTCAACCACCCACCTATTCGCCCTATGAGCAGCCCCACAATGAGCTCTGCAGTGGAATACGCGGAGTTGAGCGCAATCAGCAGCGCCAGCCGCCTCATCCCCCCCGCTGACCGCTGCTGCAGCGCCCCCACCACCGCCCTCCCCCACCACAACCCCCCCGCCACTGCCCCCCCTTTCCCCCTGCCCCTGGCGGACGCTTGGGGGAAGGGAGACCAGGGGGAGGGGATGGGGGGGAATTGTCGGGCAGGGGAGGGGGAGAGGGCAGGGGACGCGGCGCTCCAGGGTGTGTGGGGAGTGCGGAGGGAAGGAGAGGCGGAGGGGGAGGGGGAAGGGACCCAGGGGGACGCTGGGGCGGGGGAAGGCAAAGAAGAGAGGGAGGAGGGATCACCATTCCTTTGAATCGAATTACCCTTGCTACCGCCCCTGCTAACATCCGCAGCACTGCTTGAACCCTCCCTTCTCTCTCTTCCTCCTGATACCACTGCTGCACCTGCTGCTGCTCCTATAGGCGTCTTTCCCCCCTTTCCCCGCTCCGCCCCTGCAGATTCCGCGCCCACGTGCTGCCTGCGCGCGGAAAACTCCGCCACAGCAGCTGCAGCTGCCGCTGCTGCGCCCTTGCCTAGCTCCGAGCCTGCGGAGGAGGTTCGGCTGGGAGGCGGGACGGCAGGATTGGCAGAGGAGGGCGTGGACTGGCTGAGACAGTTGTTGTCACTGGCGATGCGCTTTACACGGCTGTTATGTGAGTGGCCCGCGGAAGGAGGAGCGGAAGGGGGAGCGGAAGGAGTAGCAGAAGGAGTGGCGGAAGGGGTGGCGGAAGGGGTGGCGGAAGGGGTGGCGGACGGGGTGGCGGACGGGGTGGCGGAAGGGGAGGGGAGGGAGGCGGGGGAGGGGGAGCCTGTCTCGTGAGAGGGCAGTGGGACGGAGGCAGGAGAGGCGGAAGGGGGAACCTGCCTGTGTGGCGTAAGTGTCAATCCGTCATTCCCCTCTCTCTGTGGCGCCACACACGCAGGTTGCGGATCGGATGGCTGGAATGAGCCTCCTGACAATACACTTTGCTGAAGCCTGTTATGATCTTGGAGATCTGAACCGTCCGTTTGAATCTTCTCCGCTTCCTGAAGAGCCGCACCCCCTGTGACTCTTGGCAGACCTACTTCACCCGAACCAGCTGCAGCAGCTGCCGAACCTGCCCGCCCCGAATCTGTTGCAGCCATTGGATTCACCCCTGCCGAGCCAGAAATCCGATCCGCTGGCTCGGCTTTCGTCCCTTTTTGTACCTTACCCTTAATTGGACCACTACCCTTTGCTCCATTACCAAACCTCTCCCGGGCCTGTTCCTCAGCTTCGGCTTGTCGGGTGCTACTAGGAGCCGAAACCACAGCAGCCTTATCCGGCATAGCAGCAGCATCGGCTGTTGAGACGAGCGCGTTAGTCTTAGCGCTGCTCCGGTCAACTGTAGGAGAGGGCGAAGGGGAAAAGCCGTACCAAGCCCGAACGTTCGGCGATGCGGAAGTGGCGGCGGATGAGGCGGCGGACCAAGCGGCGGGAGAGACGGAAGGTGTTGCGAAGGCGGGAGGAGTGGCTGATTGCGCTGCTGCTGAAGGTTGCAAAACGGCCGGCTGCGACCAAATCGGGTTACCATTCTGACCAATGTTACTACCCTGGCTAGGGTTTCGCGGGCTGGATTTGGGCTGGGATGGAGTGGAGGCGAGCGAGTGGAGCGGAGGGCCGAATCTTAATGTTGCGCGGATGGCGGCTTGCGGAGTGACGTAGCTGGGATCTGGGAGGTCGCCTGGCGATGTCAGAGGAGCGGCGGTCGTAGGGGGAGTGTATGCGGGGCGAGCGGAAGTGAGGGTAGCGAATGCGGGGGAAGTGAATGCGGGGGACGCAGAAGTGGGAGAAGCGAAAGCGGGAGGCGGAGTGCGGAACGCGGCTGAAGGGGAGGGGGAGGACGATGATGGAGACATGAAGGGATTTGAGAGGAAGGGATTTGTGGAGGCTCTTTGCGCTGCGTGCTGAGGCCGTGCGTCCCGCTGTGGGTTGGCCATGGCGATTAAAAGCGACTACAATAGTTTCGCGATCAGCACTAGAACGCGGATGTGTTGTTAGCTTATCATGATCAGCTCGTAAAAGGAACGGATTCTTTCGCCAAGGCTTCAAGACTTTTCGTGCGGTTCTGATCACACGCGTCTTGCTGCGAGGTACGGTAACGATATGACAACTAATCGTCTGGTGAATCTCGAGGCACCCCAAGATGCAGACGACCAATGACGAGTCGACACATGTCTACTTTGACGGGTCGCTATTTCGGTTCAGTGCTAGCAGTACGAATTCGGGTTGAACAGGATGGATAACCGGAAAAACGGATAGATTACGGACGATGTAGCCGCATTCCATAAGCATTGATTGAAACACAGATCAGTCAGATCGAAATGGGAAGGCCACCATCGCCGTCGTCTATATCGGGCAGCTGTGCGAGTCGCCAAACTAACGCATTCAAAATGCAGAATCAATATGATTGCTACCTAACAAGCTCGCTCGATGCACCATCTGCCACTGGTGGTTGGTGTATGACACAGTTAGGTACTCCCACAAGCTTCAAATATGAGCTGCGCGTGGTGCAAGGGGTGTATGGAGGAATCTAGGTTTCGCGATCCGCGAGTTGAGTTTGTGGTTTGCGCTCTCGCCAAGCCGTAACAAGTGGGGGATTGCAAGCTGCGAAATCTGTCGCCATCTCTGCGAGTGTCACCCGCTTTCGCTGCGACCAGGGCAATTAGATGCCAGGTCAACCCGGGAACAAAGTAACCACGCTACACCTTGGCAAAACTTTTTGAAAGAAATCATTTTCTTCCTTACTTCTCGTCATCCCTCATACCGCATGCATATGATACTCGTCTCGCCTCGCGGCTGTTCATTTACTTACGACCCTTGCCTTTTTATTCCATCCACTGCTATTTTGACCAATGCGTCCGAACCATACGCCTCAACTAGTATCCCACTGCCCAACCCTACGCCACGGTTGTATCTGTCACATGTCATCGACTACGTTCGCCCCAAAGGGCGGAACCTCGTCAACATAGGTGTCTGTGGATCTGTAGGAGGCCATCTCTGAGTCCATGGCAGCTCTCCACTAAGAGGCCCAAGGCCCTGACACGGCCTCAGCGTAAGTGCGATGAGTATGTATGTCAAGGGCGTCGGGGTCTCCCTCAGGGGCGAGCAGCATGGCACAGAGATGAGAGGAAGTGGATGCCAGGAACTCTAGCTCAAACTGCCTTCCTTCAGGGTAGCCTATACGAGGAGGTCTGGTTGCGTCGTCCCTCTGCCTTCACTGGCACTTTCCCTCCTGTGACCCAGTGGAGGCTGAGGCGACCGGTCTACGGTCTCCGTCAAGCTCCTCGTGAGTGGCACGACACCCTTTCTACCCTATCTGACCTCGGTTTCCAGCCGTCTTCTGCCGACCCGTCGCTATTTGTTCATCGTGGCTCCACACCGTTCTTTGTACTGGTCTACGTCGGCGACCTGGTTTTCGCCACTGCTGAGAGGGTTGCTTTGGCTGACGTGAAGCGAGAACTGCAGAAGAGACACACGTGCACTGACCTTGGTGAGCTGCGCCACTGCCTTGGCTTGCAGATCATGAGAAGATTTGAACAAGAATGGATGAACTATGAAATGAAGTGAGTACAAATATGAAACCCTAATTGGTTGTACCCCCTATGGAATACCCCACTATAGCCTACACAACAGCATAAGCTATAATGTTCTGACACACCCCCATAGGCAAAGTGGGGGAGAACAAGGGGTCACAAGACCAGTCAAGCAAAGTAAAGCAAAGCAAGCTCAGGGTGGATCACAAAGTCACCACACAGTCCGAGCACAGGGTCAAGGCCACACGGCCAGTTCACATGCAAGAGTACACACATATATATATAAAGCTAGACAAGCAAGAGCAGGTATATATATATGTGAGAGTACAGGCAAGGTCAAGAGGAGAGCAAGTGAGGCAAGACGGGCACAAGACCCAGCTGAGTGCAGAAGCGCTGATGATCACAAGGCGGAAGTGCCTTGGTGAAGACATCAGCAGTGTTGGCCTCAGAGGCCACGTACGCTAGCCGCAACTGACCACGTTGCTGTAGCTCACGAGCAAGGAAGTAGCGGAGAGCAATGTGCTTTGTTCTGTGCTCCAGTCGCTGCTCTCGACACAAGGCCAGCATGGCCTTGTTGTCTACGTACAGGACTGGAGGAGAACGAGGCGGCTCTCCAAGGTCGGTCAGCAGGTAGGTGAGCCAGCGAAGCTCCTGTGCAGCCATGGCCCCGGCGTAGATCTCAGCCTCACAACTCGAGCCAAGAACAGAAGACGAGCGAGTAGCCCGCCACGAAACAGAGCCGGAACCAAGGCTGAAGGTGTAACCCTGTGACGACCGCTGCGTAGCCTGGTCGTCAGCCCAAGAAGCGTCCGCGTGCCCAGTGAGGACCACTGGACTCCGCCCTCCAAGCACTAGCCCCATGCCCGACGTACTGCACAAGTAGCGCAACACCCTCTTCGCTGCAGCCATGTGCTCTGGTCTGTGTCTCCCAGGAGCAACATAGCGTGCAAGAATGCTAAGAGGGTATGCAAGGTCAGGTCGTGTGCAGGTCATCAGGTACATGAGGCAGCCAACAAGCTCTGGGTACGGGCCACTCGACTCTACGGACTCATCCGAAGGCAGAGCTGAGAGCGAGTGGCGAGTAGACAGAGGAGTGGCCTGAGGCGAGGAGTACGTGAAGCCGAAGCGCTGAAGGACCTGCTGCACCATGTGTGACTGAGTCAGGGTAATGGTGCGGCGTGCTCTGTCCCGGGTGATCTGCAAGCCAAGGTAGCTGCGCAGTTCACCCAGGTCTGTGCACGTGTGTCTCTTCTGCAGCTCGGACTTCACGTAGGCGAGTCCAGCAGTGTCAGCTGTGGCAAAGACCAAGTCGTCGACGTACACGAGGATGTAGAACGGCGGCAGAGAGGTGTCGGTGCGTAGAAACAGCGACGGGTCGGCAGTAGAAGGAGCAAACCCAAGAGCCGCAAGTGTAGTCCTCAGTGTGTCGTGCCACTCACGTGGCGCCTGGCGGAGACCGTAGACTGGACGCCGGAGACTCCACTGGGTACCAGAAGGGAAAGACCCAGTGAAGCCAGGTGGGCGACGCAGCCAGATCTCCTCGTGCAGGCTGCCCTGCAAGAAAGCTGTGCTGAAGTCAAGAGAGTGCAGCTCGTAGTCACGGTGAGCAGCAACGTGCAGCAGTACCCGAAGAGTGGTCATCTTCGGGGTGGGGGAGAAGGTCTGAAAGTAGTCAACTCCCTGCCGCTGACTGAAGCCACGAGCCACGTAACGCGCCTTGAAGACAGGCGGAGAACCCGGCGGCCGCTTCACCCTGAAGATCCACATGCCACTGACGATGTTCGCCCCAGGAGGGGGGACAGCGTCAACGTAGGTGCCTGTGGACTTCCAGGAAGCCATCTCTGCATCCATAGCTGCCTGCCACTGAGAGGAGTAGGGACCCTCTATCGCCTCCGCGTAAGAGCGCGGAGTCGGGATGTCAAGTGCATCCGGGTCTCCCTCAGGGGTAAGCAGTACGGACACGAGATGAGGTGAGGCAGCTGCCAGACACTGGAACTCCTCCTGCCTGTCCTCAAGGACGTCTGTGCCAAGGGCACACTCACCCCCGACGGACGGAGGACAGACAGACTCAGACTCAGCGACAAGACTAGCAGCGTAGTCTAAGCGACCGCGAGCAGCAAAGTCGACGAGCTCAGTAACGAGAGCAGACGCAGCAGTAGACTCGAAAGAAGGGTCAGTGACAACAGTAGCAAGGAGACGCGTGACAGTAGGACTGGCAGCACGAAGAGAGTCCGACTCCGGGTCGGCAAGAGCAGGAAGAGAGGACTCAGGAGGAGAAGGCAAAGGGGCACGCAGAGGAGCAGTGGACGGACGCAGAGACATCCGGTGCGTGCCAGGGACAGGAGGAGGACGCTGACGCGAACCGCGACCACTAGTGCGAGCAGCACGGACAGGCGACGCAGGGCGAGACGCAGGCTCACGACGCTCAGCCAGACCTCCAGTAGGACCAGTGTAGGGAGAAGGAGCAGGCAAAGGGGAGGTAGGCTGCAACTGTAGCTGGGACGAGACAGGCTGTGGACACTCTAAGGGAGGAGGAGGACCAGTAGAAGGTGGAAGACCAAGAACCTGCTGCAGGAGTGGAACGAAGTACGGTCGAGGCCGCGCGGCGACGCTAGAAGCAGCAGGGACAGCACCAGAACCCTCAGCAGGAGCACCCGCTCCAGCAGCACCACCAGTAGCTCCAGAACCTCCAGCAGCACCAGGAGCACCCCCAGTAGGACTGCCAGCGGTAGTCTCAGCGCCAGCACCCTCAGCAGCACCAGCTCCAGTGCACCCAGGACGAGCACCTCCGGGACCCGCGACCGCAGCACCCTCAGCAGCCGAAGGACCTCCAGCACCAGCAGCACGCCTCCAGCGCCGGGCAAACCACTCACGCAGCTCCTGTGGAGAAAGTGGCTCCCGGCGAGACGAAGCACTCGGAGAACCTCCAGGCGGAGCACCTCCAGACGTAGCACCCCTAGGCTCAGCACCCCCAGGCTCAGCACCCCTAGGCTCAGCACCCCCAGGCTCAGCACCCCCAGGCTCAGCACCCCTAGGCTCAGCACCCCCAGGCTCAGCACCCCTAGGCTCAATACCCCCAGACGTAGCACCCCCAGGCCCAGCACCCCTAGGCTCCGCACCCCCAGGTACAGCACCCCCAGCCTCAGCACCCTCAGCAGCACCAGAGTCACCAGTGACCTCGACAGGCTCGACTGCGTCTACCTGGGACACACCTGAAGGGGCAGGACCCTGAGGGGGGAGGGGGTCTACCTGGGGGGGACCTGGTACCAGGAAGAGTGGGGGTGGGGGGAGGGACGGAGTGCGGTAGGGGAAGAGGCGGTAGTAGGGGACCGACTCGTCAAACGTGACGTCCTGGGAGGACAGAACACGGCGAGAGGTGGGGTGGTAAAACTGCCACCCAGGCG